CTTTAGAAACTTTCGAGCGAACTATATTTTGCCTTTTGTGTTATCTCTTCCCAAGGTTGGTCCTGTTTATTACCTTTCGGTTGCATGTTTTTGTTCATATTTTGTCGTTGTGTGTTGTCCCTGTGATATACATTTTTATTTTTTATTTTTTGATAGACAAGAAGATATGCTACAGGTTAAAAACAATGATGAGTGATAATAAGTACTATATGTATTCTATTGAAATGTTCTAAACGAAAAATGCGTAACTGTGGTGTCATAAGCTATATAAGAGCTGATTCAGGATAATTTGTTTGTTTGCTAACTTTTTATCCATGGACAATCTGTTTTATATTTCCCTCTAAGATATATAATGAAGATAGTGACATGCTTGTTCTGATATCTGTCTTTATCTTTTCTTTTCTTCTTTCTCTTTTGTTTTTGTTTTCTTACCAGCTTCGTTTTCTTGCCTTTTATCTTTCCTTCTTCCTCATAGCAACACAGTGTGATATTAAATGAAATAATACCTATCCATATGCAGTCTTTAGTGATACAAATTTCTTTTTGTATAATTTGTATGGTATAAGTGGTGATATGAAAGAAGATTGGTGACAAATAGGTTATTACATGATCTGAATGAATTACTGATCCATTATTATTGTCATTGTATTGAAAAAACTCTTTTGAAAATAAAAAAAATAAATAAAAAAAATGAAGATATTTTATAAATTTACGGGCCAACTAACATATATTCGCCGTGTTTGATACCTCATTAGACGTAATGCTGATAGTAATCGATGTTATACTAGACCTATATACCACAAGGACCGTGTTTGCCTAGTTATCGCGATAGCGGCCTGTTTGGTGGCCACACACACACTTACCTTAAATTAATAAATGGCCTTTAATCCTAATATTTGTGGGAGTCAACGTTCATACCAGGGTTCGTGTGACATGCCCTAGTCATGATAACTAGTACTACTGTATCAACAGTACTTCTTATCATCAATAGCTGTATACAAATTTCCCTAACTCTTTTCCCAAACTTCCCAAACGTTACCTAACCCTTTCAACACTGTAGACCACAATGGACTCATCCGGATCAATGCATGCTCGAGTCTACTGATTTTTTTTTTTCAAATTAACATGTTTTTATTCAACCTTTTGCATATTATACATTTGACAGTATATTGTACATGTTAAAATTAATATATCTGGTATATAAATATATAGATCTGTGAACAATATACAATGAAAATTCCTCTTGACTGCCCATCTTATATTTTTCCTGGACACTGTTTTTATTTTTATTTATTTTTTATTAATGACTTAGGAAGGTGTTAACTGTATTTTTGTTCACTCACGCATTCTCACATTTTCACAGTATACGTGCACATGGTATGTTGTATGTGGTAATTCTATTCGGTCTGCAGAACTGCGGCATTGATTATTGAATTTGGGACCGGTTTTTTTTCAAATTTTTCGTATTCCATGTTTTTTTTTGCTATGATTTCTTCATATTTTATATACCTGTCCAGTTCTGTTTTAAAACCTAAAATGCTTGGTATGCATTTTCTCAGTTTTTGCTTACAAATGTGGAATTTAGCGATTATAATTATAATGTTTAGAGATCTTATTTATTGTTTATGTATTAGTTTGCCTAGTATTACATCATTATTCTGGAGTTGTATAATTTTATTGGTTTTGATTTGTAGCCATAATTATAGTTCATCCCGAAAGTTTTCTACTATTCTGCATTCCCAAAACAAATGGATTAATGTTTCAGTATGTCTATTGCAAAAGGTGCGTAATGGAGAGTCGTTTATTTTAATCATATGCAGATATTTATTAGTGCTTATGATTCTATGCACTATTCTGTATTGGAACCATCGTAGTTTACGTTCAATCGTTGATTTAAATGGGATTACGTTAATTTTTCTCCACCATATATCATTTTCTGTTAAGTCATGTTCAGTAGACCATTTCATTTTATGTTTATTGTTTGTTTTTAAGTCTTTGATCAATGAATGATATATTGACATTCCTCTTTGTTTGTTTGTTATTATACAATATATGTGTTTTGGGCATTGGGGTAGCATAAAGGTGTGCGGTCTATCTTGTATTACATTCCAAGCAGATATGTGGGTCTGCTGAAGTTACTTAGTGGTGAATGGTTTAACATGGTTGATAACTAGTAACAGACTTCTGTGGTAACTTGATTCTAACACCAGTATGTGTATGGACTTTTTTTCAAGTTCCTGTCTTGCCTTAAACAAATCGGTTTCAATGAATTAGATTGCATAAATATCTATTTTCGATTAAATACAGAACACAAATCACCAATAACGGCAATAAAAGAATTCAGTGAGACACAAACGACGTTATGAATTTCGTTATAGATACAGCTTCCTTCAGGATCTATCGCAGAAAAAGAGGTTTCTGTCACGAATAATTGGCAAGCGTTTCTCCTGTCCCTAATTAACGTAAGCATTTCCTGTCTTAAATAAATTGTTAGCGTTTCCTTTCCAAAATAATGGGTACACACTCCAGTCTTGTCCAAAATCAATTGTAACCCTGTTCTCGGCAAAATAACGGGTAAGCTTTTCCTTCCCTCAATAACAAGAAAGCGTTATTTGGCCCAAGTAAAAAGCAAGCATTTCGTCTACAAAATAACGGGTAGCGTTTTCTAAAACCAAGACGATCGTAACACTTACACAGACGTTTGGAAGAAAGAGTTTATATTTCATGTCCGAGATAAATAACAAGTGTTTCTTGTCTTCAATAACGATGAAGCATTTCTTTTCCAAAATAAGGAGAAAATGTTTCCTGTTCAAACTAAAGGGTAATTAGGGCATTCGGTATCCCAAATATCGGTCAAGCGTCTTGCTGTCCAATAAATAGGGAAAGTGTTTCCTAGCCGAAATAATGTGTAAGCGTATGCTGCCCGAACGAAAATAAAGTCAAATCAAACGTTAAGGTTTTCCGCAGCATATCTCGTCAGTAGCTACGTAAGCTATTGGTTAACAAGACCCATCTGTTAAGAAAATAAAAAATACTTAAAAACTTCGAGAATGGCCACGACGAACATCAATTTGGCAAAATAAAATAAATTACAAAAAAGAGAGAAAAAATTAAGTTGGTAAAACACTGTTAGCCTTTAAAGGTACGATTGGATTAAGGAAGGTTTACATTGTTTGTACATGATTACGTTGTTAAGATATAGTCTTAATTGCTCTGGTGACAGTGTTAGTCTATGCTGTTTGACGGAGCTGATTTTTAAGAATAATATTTACAAAACAGTGTTTCAAACGTTTTTTATCATCTTTTTGTGGAAGAAACCGAGTGCATTTTGTTTTTCTTAGTTCTGTCTGACGTATAAGGGATGCCTTTATCATGCTACCTTTATTTCTGTACTACACAACCAGCCTATCTACGCTGTTTTGACGTGATCAACACTATTAACTACGGGTGCTTGTGTGAGAGAAAAGATCTGAACAAAAAGGTGACGTCAGACTCGACAGGTCCGGCTATTAATCAGAAGCATTTTCATTGATGTCGTTTTGCATCGTTTTCATTGTCAAACTATTCGGTAACCAGATGACATTCAAGATTAACGGTGCTTACATGACCGAATTGTTTCAATCTCACAGGGAACACCTATTATTATTTATTAATTTTGTTAATGAAACATCTTTAAATTACAAATAAATTTATTGTCCCATTTGTCCATTAAGGACTCATCAGTGTTACTAAAGGTCAAAAGGTCAAAAGGATGCAAATATATGTCTAAAGCGGACCTGACATATGTAGAAATATTGGAAGTGGGAATGTGCTGATATAATTCTCTATAACGTACCCATTTCTTACAGATACTCGATTTCTAAAATTTATATTTCACGTTAACCGTGTCCGAACAGATCTTAGCTAGACCATTACTTCAAACCGCGGTGAATGATAGTCTGTCAGCTGAGTAACTCACATTGTGGAGTAAAATAATCACAAGAAATACGAAGTAAGACGTATATATAATACATGCATAATATTTTCCAAAATTTATTTTAGGAATGTTTCAGTATTGTACTGTAGACACTTATGATACATAATTTACATGCTTACCACATTTTGTGTCGCTAACAATATATTTTGTATGACAGTCAGCACAGCGGACGAAATTGGATTATGGTTGCTTTATATCGTAGCAATTGCAAAACTAGTCGACATAGCTAGCAATTCAGTTCGCCGTGAGTACTTACAAATCAGCATCACAGTACAAATGCCATGTAATTGTAACCTACCGAGACCGTTATAAAATACAGACGGAGACGAATATTAATGCATAAAGCATATAGAAAAAAACCCACTTAAATGTAAAAACATATATCCTGTAATTAACACTTATTTCTACCAATGCGTAATTACTGCCAGGTAAAACGAAAATAGCATACCTCGTTTAATTATAAAAAAAAACAAGGAAACTAAAAAAAAGGTGATGGCGCACGAACGAAAAAGCCAGCAATAAAGGTTCATGACTGATTTTAATTACAAATCTAAAAGTTTTAATGTCCATTAAGATAACGAAATGGTAACGTTTTAAGGTAGGAGTTAATGTGACGGACCACGCCAAAGTCAGCACACACCAAACGATGGGTCTGGGAGTGACGCCACCCTTTGACGGGCGTTCGGCTCTGCGTGCTCGGTCTTCGTGGATACCGGCTTATGGTCTATCTAAGAGCAAATAGTCATCATAAGTAACGCTATCGAAATATTTCCCGCACTGTGGTGTAGCCGAAGTCTCTTTCTGATTTGCATAAGCTATCGTAGGGAAATAATCCAGTGGTGTAGGTGGATGTTGTTTGTATATGATAGAGGCGTAACGAGATAAAAATCTTTTCTGATTGACAGAATACACTTAAGATACATTACAATGGATTTGATGTGCTGAAAGTTAATGTCCTGACTTGTCAGAATTGTGGGTATATAACGGGAAAGTCCTGTGTTTAAGCTCCGTCTCTCACATAGGAACTCGAGAGCGTGGATACCTGGGAACACCGCTCCCGAACTGTAGGAGACGGATAATTTTGACAAGTTAATTTTGTAATATTTTATTTTTGGATTCAAAAGATAAATCACAATGATTTCAAGAACACTTTTGTTTTTGGGCCTGTTGTACGTATGTAGTGCCCAGATACAGGACCAAACTAGGACTCCTGGAGCCAGCGGCTCCGCTGTGGTGGAGGCCGTCATCAACCTCATCCATGAGTCCTGCATATTCCCTAGCGACAGACTGTACCTCCGCAGGTTGGCCTACGTCGAATCCAAGGACGGCACAGCTAACGACACATACAGAGCAGGCTATAATGGTGGAATCTGGCAGGTGAGTCGGTGTTCTCTGTATAATAGTTATGTCCAGTGTCAAAGTGCCAATCTATTAAATCGTACTAAAATATTTTTTTAATATTAATAAGATAGATCATATCGTACAAGTCTTAATGGGACTACAGTATGCAACATATGTATATCTTAGGTTAGTTTAAAACAGGCTGTCGATTATCTTCAGAACTGTTTAATTTAGGTTACCTCAAACAGGAATAATATTTGTTATAGTGACATTTTGCCCCTTAGAACCGTTGATTTCAGCAATATCTGCGTTAACCATATTATATTCTTCATTACGTTTGTCATGTCGAGTTATTCAGAACGATCCTTTGTGATACTAATGGGAGAAATTTATGACTATTATGAATTGGCAGTAATTGCATTCACCCTCCCCTCCTTTCATTACGTTGACCATAGATTTCATTTTGTATAGTGATTCTCACGTTTAGGCACTTGATTATAAAGACAGCACAGACTATTGAAGGATTAAGCTAGACAAAGACATTATAATCTTAGAAATAGTTGTATTTATTTCTATATAATCACATTTTCACTGCAAGTTTCTCTCTAAGCATTACCATAGAGATCATAGAGCTATGAACGCAATTTTATCAGCCTCATTTCGAAGCTTCTCCTCCTGCCCCGAATTACATGCGACCGCGGTAAGGAGTAACATTTTGGTGACGTAAGGCTATTCCAGAAATCTCGTTTGCACCGACGACATAGTCAATATTATCTAAAACATTAGAATGTTAGTATAAGAATTGAACGGTATTTTTACAATGTTCATTTACGCATTGAATTGCTTTCAATTGGCATTCATAAACATTATGAATTCCAACTGGACAAAGGCAAATCCAACATTAAGCACCAGCGCGCTTCATTGAATCTGCCTTTGTCCAGTTGGAATTCATATTGTCTATGAATGCCAACTGAAAGCAGTTCATTACTTATATTTTTCTTTTTTGGAATATGTTCAATCACACTTATTAATATTCAGCGTTTAGTTCAAACGATGTATTCTCGTGTATGTTTGTTCAATGAATAAAACAGCCATCACCCGGGGACGGTCAGTGGTATCCGACTTAACAATTATGACGTCAACAATCGGTCCATGGCGGCATTCATAGCCTATATGAATGCCAACTGAATTTGGTAGGGTTATATTATGTTAAGGTCATACGATGTTTAATATACCAGCATGATATTGAAAAAAATCCCGTTCGATCCTTATGTAATTTTGGTACATTGTTTTTCAGTACATTGGTATGTTAAAGATTACAATGATCACCCCTGTTCTAATGGTTCTGGGTATCAAACATTGTTCCATGGTAGGAAAAGCTCTGATATCGCAAATAGTGTGATATAATTCTGTCATATCTTATAGCGTCCTTGGTGTCACATTATTTCTGTATGGAAAGGGAAGCAAATCGTCGGTGACCATAGTCCTACATTTTACCTTTCTTCTGCTTCAGTGCACTTTACTGACAATTAGCCTCTGTTTGACAATTTCTTAAATAAAGTCATATCATAATTGGCTATTCAGAAAATAAAGTAGACATTTATATTATTACCTCCCCCCTCTATTCAATTGTGACATAGCTGCCACAACACGAATTAGCTTGAAATTATATCCCCAAAAACATAAAATAATAACGTGCATGAGTAAATGCTCCTGTCATGTGACTCGAAAATGTCTTCAAAGTTTAAAACAACGACCTTAATTGATTTATATTTTCGATGAAGATTGATGAGGACCAGTTCCTCCAGACGTTGACCACTCCACTTTTGGCCAATGCCCGAGCTCTTCTGAGGAATACCCTAACCATCGATTGGTCCAACACCAGATGGGAGGATTTGCGCAAACCTCTGTACTCCGGGGTGGCCGCGGGTCTGTATACCCTCCTCATGGCCGGTTTGGGTTCCGTACCAAGCTCTGTGGAGCAGCAGAGTACCTTCTGGATAAACAACACGAGGCATACCTATCTAGACGCCAACAAATATTACAAGGCAGTCAATGAGCTACAGGGAGGTGAGCAAATAGGCCTCAATGGCCAAACCAGACAAATGTAACGATTGGCAATATTAATGACGCATAATTATCAAATTGACAAATTGCATTTTATGTGCTTTGGCGATATATTTACTACATCATATTTACTAAAAGTCATTATCTTATTATTTATCCGTTACATGAAACTTATTTTAAATGTGTGTAAGTCAAGACAATTCCATGTCACAGAGACGTCACTAAGTGTACAAATTCTGTATATAACATTTCAGGAGTGCAAGAGTTTTTAACGGGTTATTTTTTGTGACGTCATAATTAAGAAAATTATTTAATGCCATGAATCAGTATTTTCAAATATATGTTAAGGAAATGTTTCAGAAGACTCGATGGAGTTGTGACTGAAATTAAAGAATTGGATGGGAAAAAAAATTCCCTACAATGACAATGTGTTTTGTTGTCTTATCATTGACAGACCCTCGGGTTAGACAACAAAAGAGTATAAAAGTACTTAAAGTACTCGTAATGACTGGTAATTGGGTGCTATTTATTTAAGCAACCCTTCGCGATAGAAAAAAGGACCAAATGGTAAAAAAGGAAAAAGCGAAAGGTTCACGTATGTTCAGAGGATGTCGAACTGATTAAAAAAAAATTGTAGACAGAAAATTGTGAATTGTTGTTTCTGTTGACAGGATGTCGCAGCTCCAATGCGATAGACTTGGTATTTGTTCTCGACAGCTCGGCAAGTCTTTCTCCTGAAGATTTTGAAATCACCAAGAAATTTGTAAAAGATGTGGTTGGCCAGTTCAACATTGGGACACAGTCTGTTCGTGTGGGGGTAGTAGAATTCAGCACTGCTGTCTCGGCCTCTTTCCTGTTGAATGCTTACTCCACTAAGGCGGCAGTGCAGAAGGCAGTGGACGGTATTCTGTACAGTCCAGGTGGAACTAATACTGCTGCCGCTATAGACAAGACCGTCAGTGAGGTCTTCTCTACCGTCAATGGAGCACGGAATGGTGCAGCTAAGGTAAGACACATTGTCAGATTAATATTATGTTCTCCTAAAGGTTAAAACGGAAAAAGTTAACCCAAGGGTTGATATTCAAGATTTTCTAACACGAGGCATGATTCAAGCGCCGTGTAAGACATTCACGAATCTCCATTGGCTTAAAGCAGGCGTCGAGTTATACATTAAATAATATCTCACTTAGAGTTAAGCTTTCTCTAGCATACAACAGGAAATGATTTTTTTTTATTCCAAAACAATGAATTCTGTTTCCTTTTCTGATTTTCTGATTTTCTCTCCGTTGAAAAGTGTGATGTTATATGTTATTATTCACACTTTATGGCAATGCTTTAAAGTTCCGTTTTTTATGACTTCGTGAGGAGATCATGATGGCAACATACAACTTGCCCATATACCCTATACATCTTCATCTTTTAGAATTTTGTGTTGCTCTGACGGAAAGCGTGATATGCGGTGTACACTTGTTGATAGTTATCTAACTGCATACGCCGTAGGTTTGAGGACAAACGAGTATGGTATCTGTCATCCGTTCTGATAAGCTCTTTGATAAATGCAGTTTCTTATAAAAAAACGTGTCGGACTTGGGATGGGTATAATTTGTCCCCTTAATTTCACTGATCAGTAAAATATTCCAATAATTAGCTTAATTATGTTAATGCAGGTGATGATTTTGATCACTGATGGTCGGTCAGAGAACACGAAAAACACACAGATTGCTGCCTTAAATGCGAGAATGAATGGAATCACAATTTTTACACTTGGAGTCACACAAAGTGCCAATAAGGTAAGTCACCCTGAATCGTTCTACTTGTTCGGAGGTATTATGTACAGCAACAAAACTTTTCCAAGAACAACAATCTAGCTCATGTTCTATTCATTTATCGCCAAATGTAACGGTTTGGTTGGTCTGGTTTAATTTGTCAGTGGTCAGTTGGTCAGTAGTCGAGCGTTGATCCAGCCACTGGCCACATTATACGTTGCTGAACATGTGAGCGCGTACCAGCCCAGGGTTATACAGCTTCCCCGAATAAGCTAGCCTGCCAGTAAGGCAGTATTTCTCCTTCATATTTCTTGGCTCTTACAGCAGCGTGATATTGTGAATAACTAATTTATGTCCTTTTAACGCCAAAGGTATTGTTACCATTCCTTTCCATTCAGTCATGCGGATTTAATGGTTTTATTTTACCTCAATTAGAAACATACATTCGATATACTTGCAGATCGAGTTAGATGGGATTGCCAGTACTCCTAGTTGTACCCACTCACAGATCCTTAACAGCTACGCTGACCTGGACGATCTGAAAACTGAGATCCAGAGTGTTTCATGCAAAGGTAAGATAGTGGTGACCTGGAAAGTTAAAAAATGTTTCATGAGAAGGTCAGATGTGGAGGTTGGAAAGTGTGAACATGTTTCATACGAAGAGGCAAATTATAATTGAAAGTCTGAATAATGCTAAAGTTAAGATATAGTTCCATTAAAATTGTCAAAACGTTTACAAACAAAATTTAGATATGATGATAATGAAAGTGTGAATGAGGTTTTAAGATAATATATGGAGTTTCATACAAAGTTGCAAAATGTAGGTCTTGAAAGTTAGTAACAAATTGATACAATTGATAAACCATATATCAATAGTATCTTGATGGATCATATTGTATAGCATTAAACGTTTTGCATTGAATTTAAAAGAAATTTGATTAAATATTTATGGATATATTACAGATGAGAAACAGGAACAACTACATTTACAGCAAAATTAAACATTATATTGAATTACACAGCAGATTTTAGAATATACATTCGGAAATTCTAAGAATGGAAGAAATTGTATTTTCAAAAATTGGAAGTTTTGTAAGAAATAGCAAACCTGAAATGGGATTAAAAGTCTTAGTTATAGAATAAGGTAAGACTACAACGTATACTCATTATATTCTAGCCGCCGCCATCCTCACCCCTAACAACTACCAGTACAACTGTGGTAGTGACATCAATGTGCAGATCCTACCAAACATCACAGCTGGCACCACTGTCACGGTAAGGTCCCAGTGTAAGAGATTCCGATTCAACACCAAGTCTTATTTTTAGAATTTTAATACATTTGCACACTTGTGGAAGTATCACAGTGAATAATAACGGGTATGACTCGACATTGGAACGCCTTATGTCAGCTATACATGTATACAATATCTCTATTTCCTTTTGGAACATTTTAATGTAGATCACGCCCACTGACGGTACAGTCTCAGTATTTGGTTCTCTGACGTCAGCAAACCCAAGTCCGGTCCTGAATGAGTTCTACAAAATCGCTGACATCAATGCTGGTCAGTCGTTCTATGTGCGGGGTAACCGATCTATCGCGTTGGCCGTCATGTCCACCTACCCCAGGAAGACATGTAGCGGAAACTTCAACATCACTGTAGAGGAGGGAAACAACATCCGGCCAAGTGAGTGTGTGACAAAGCAGTGATTAAAACCAATTCTGACCAATCCATATAAATCCATATCACATACCTGACAATTAACCGTTGTCCAATCCTATATAATTGACCAATTCTCAAGAAATATAGGTCGGTTTTATTGATTTCTAAATGAAGCTTTCAGGAGAACCAGTACATACATCTGTTATAGAGCATTCTAATTACGGACCCTTATGTTTTAAAATATGTTATTGAAGCAAAAAGTCAAATAGTTATTGAGTTAAGTGATGGTAACTGGAATGGTGTATGGACCTAAACAATATATTGATGTAGGCTTCGGATCATTTAATGTATTATTTTAGGATCATATCACATTATATTCATCACCACAATACTCCTTCATTTTTATGATGTTGTATGCTATCATCATCACCATACTGTACTATTTTCATAATGTTGTATGTGATGTCCATATCCTTTGTTTTGTAGATAACAACCTGTTGTGTATAGAAGCAGGCAGGATCATTGTGAATTGCTCGGCACAAACTCTTTTCGGCAGTCAGTACATGATTGTCCCACCACCATACTGTAAGTATACCTCAACCGTGGTACTATGATATTAATACGTATGGTTTTGTTTTTGTCGTATTTTGCGGTAAATGGTATAAAATGAAATACATTTAAATGACATATATCATAACATTGACTTTGGTGTGGAATATATAGTAGAAAAAGCACATCTTTAGGTGTGTTTATAATGCAGACAGGGTTATACTGTATAGTATAATATGTGAAAAATTATCATATAATATAGGAATATATATGGTAGACATTGATTCTGACTATGGATTTCATTTACAGCTATCCCCAACCCCTGCTCGGGCTTTGGTATCCAGATCTTCCCTCATCCTCTGAGGAATGACCGCTTCCTGTATTGCGATGGCCATGGCAACGTGTTTGAAGTATTATGTCCGTTTATGGAAGTATTTGACCTCCAGGTGCAGACGTGTGTACCAGGTATGCCGATGACCTTCACCCTCCCAAGGACCACCATGACCCCCTTGCCGTCAGTAACCCCACGACCAACGAACGCTGTAGTCCAGACCGGTAACCCATGCACACCAGACAATATTCTCAATGGACTGTTTTTCTTTCCATATCCTAACGACGATCAGGCGTACATTGAATGCTATAACCTTCCGTACGTGGCTGTGGTAAAGTTCTGCGACCCCCACCACTTCTGGGACCAGGCCACGCTCACCTGTCTTTACCGGGAGATTGTTGTTGACCCCACCAAGGGCTCGTTTGGATCTAATAATAAGCCATGCGGATCCGTTCCTGATCTCTTCTTCTACCCTCATGCGAGCGATCCCCAGAGGTACATTCATTGTGACCAGTACGGAGACGCCTTCGAGAAAGTGTGCAAACCCTACTTCATCTGGAGGCAGGATATCCTCAACTGCGTGCCAAGAGGTCTTTTCATCATGAGCACTGTTCCCGTCCCAGTTGTACCAGTAGGCAAAAAATAGACCAACATTCAGTGTCATTGAGCCATGCACTGTTGAACAGAAAGACTAAGTTACTTGACTCTGGTAGCACTGGTTTCTAATCGGCAAACGATGATATAGCACAGTGACATTTATGACGGAAAAAGCTTTCCAGTTAACTCATTATCATTGTGACAAATGCATGTAAGTGATTTTCGCTGCCTGATGACGGTAACAAAGTTATATGAAGGATGTGATATTTCCAGTTGTATTCATTTCCATATTAACTAGATGACATTGCATTATACATATGTACAGTGCTAATGTATGTGCATTCAGTTAAAGCTTCGTAATAAACTATTGTACAACCTTAACTGTTTTATTTCCTCTTACTGTATGACGAAAACATAATTTTTATTTCTAATTTACCGGACAACAAATTGAAACCAGTACTGAGCAAAGAGACCTTTCTACACACCACAGCTTTGTATAATATTAAACTCACACGGCCAAAACGTCGTATTGTTTATTAGCGCTTTCTTGACGGTAAATCTTATAGTATGGTGATAGTATAGTATCAATCCGCTACGCCTTTGACACTGTCTTCCTACACAGGCAGTTTCCATCCGATTTCCTTTGAACCTTAATACGGTATAACAATATTAAATATAATATTCCGTGTTTATGAAACATATATTGATTCAATAATTAAGTATTTTCTCTTTTAGTATTTACTTAAGGTCATTACAAATATGTCCAAGAAACTTTTTCCTCTGTTTCTTGGACATAATTACTTCAAACGCTCTAGAGACTTCATTCAAAGCCGTGCATTTTTGCCCCGACCTATTATCCAGTGGTTATTTAGCAATGTATCGCCTGTTGGAGCATTACACACTTGTCCAGGAAGCTTGTTTCTCAGTTTCCGGGTTAATTGAAATTAGGAAAGGTTTACATCAATACTTTCTTTCGACATACTATGCAAGTTCAGTCTGTTTTATGTACAGGTTTGATATTGTGTTCTGTTAATACATTGTGCTGTTAGCTTATAGAACACAAACAAATTCAAATTATTAAACAAACAAAATAACAAAAGCGAACGCCATACGAAAAGAGGACAACAGGAACTGAGTAACTGACAGGAAAACAAAAAGATGGACAATATCAACCTTAAAAACCTTTACTTTTCCCAAAAATACCAGCCATGATGAATTCTTTTGTCAAATTCGTTAAATATGTAGATCACTAGCGATCCATGTCAAAAAGAAGAATTGTTTAATAATTGTTTAATGTTTAATTTTATACACCTTGTGCATAGTACATGTAACTTTAAACATCGGTATCAACATCCGTATACACATCTCATGTAAATATCCATATACACAACCTGCACATAAACACATACCTTGTACACATCAATATTTTGGCGCTATTATTTCAAAAGGTGTAACTCATTGGCAAGTTAAAAATGTAGACAATAGATTTAAGACCATAACATTCACGATGGTACTGTGACGTGATTGTGAAAACTATTAAAATCACGACAAAAGACGACAAAATAATATACCAGATGACAAGGAAGAGCAATATGTTTCCGCCAGTATTCGCAAAGGTTCTGATTAACGTAGTTGGAATGATTTTAGTTTCGTTCCTGTTTGATGAAACCCATCCGCATGGTTAGTGTAAGCTCAACAGAAACTCGCTAAAATTAAAAGAAACTATTTTCGTTTTACAAATCGCTCATAAAATAGAAACTCTTGTAAGATCTTATTTAATACACTTCTCTGGCATTCCTATCTTTTTTGACGATTCTAAGAATTCAATATTAAAAACAAACAGGTTAAGTAAGAGCATATATACAGAATTTATTAGGCTGAAACAATATTATTTACTTGGAGTATTGGTAAAAATTAGTGGCAATATACAATTTTTAAGAATTTAAATTCAGGTTTAAGACATTTCAGAATTTTGATGAACGACTGTGCTGTAATGAACAGGATAAATCAATACAACCAGGTGTCACATGTGATTAGATAACAGAAGAGTAACTATTTTGTTGGGATATTCAAGATTTCTCTTCTATCAATTGGGTGCTTTCCAATTCCAGTGCTTTTCCGTTGTCCCAATGTTGTATATGTGTGTTAAGACTTCGAGGTTTCGACATAACTAGGTAAACTATTCGATTATTTTTTTTTTAAATTATCCCCCTTGGCGTTTAAATCATTCAATTTTTGTATCGTGATTTCACCTCATTGATCTTTTGACGAATCTCCTTGAAACCTGGTATTTATATCACTTTGTTATAATGGCATGACTGTGTGGTTTCACTTTTGGAAATAATGTTAGAAGATTTATTTATCAAAAGGATTTTGCCCCCTTTAACACCTTACGTACTCCTGTTTGGAGATTTGGTCACAGTTTTGTCCAATCTTCTTAAACTTGCTAATCTGTATTGTCATTATAAATAGTTGTGAATCGCACAGTTTTATAAACCTTTTCAGTCTTTTTGAATCTATTGAGCGAAATATGCATACGTATGTTGTGCCTTTGTTGTTATTTTGATACTAAACTCTGTTAAAAACTGTCAAACTGTTTTAGAGACTCAGCATTTTGCAGACAAAACATCCGAGTTGCACGTTGGCAAAAAAGCACAGTTACTAGTTATTTGCTAAAAGATGAAAACATTAAGATATTTTTAAATGTGTAAATATAATGGAACCCAAATGTTGTCATGGTTATTTTGTCACTTTGTATCAAAATATCAAACTTTTAATTTGTTTTCGAAAACAAAACGAACTTACAAGCGCTGATATATATTGCTTTCAAATATATGATGTTTGTGTTCATTTGATCACATCATATTTAATTATGTTGAAAATAACATCATTTTGTCCCTATTGAGGAATATTGTCACTAAAAAGAAAAACGAGGAAGTGCACTTGAAGGGGCTCCTTTATTACTTGAAAAAATACATCATTCGTGGTCACATTCAGTGATCTAGATCTTCTTGCAAAATATAAGTACAATGCAGTTATACACGAGTTATATGCTAAGTTCGTTTTGAACTCGCACAGTAATTGGAAACTTATTTTGCGAGCTTTCGAGAACGTCTGTTTCCTTTGTCAAGTAAAGAGTGCACATGACATACGTTTAGATCCTTTACCACTGAAAACAACTCACTGCATCAGTTTAGTCGTCTTTATGGTCCAGATTTAAGAGGCAGAATGGATAACATAGTACCCGTCCCCTGACTGCCTGCAGCTTTAGAGATGTATTTGAACGAACTATTATTATTATAATATACTTACAGTTAATTACTTTACTGACTCGTCACATTATGGCTAATGAGTTGTTGTTAGCGGTATAGAGTCGAGACACCGGCCATTTGCACTCTATTGTTGACAATGGAAAATAGATGTTTTCGAAAACTCGCCAAATAAGTTTGTTTCGATCAATAATGGTAACAAGCCAATACATTTTTCAACTGCCTGGGGAGCATGCAGTCGGGGCTGCCATTTCGGCGCTAACAGCTAGCATTCAACAATTCTAGCACTGCACAACCACGTACTCATTTACAGCTGAGTAGACTGGAACTTGCGGAGTAAAGTATCTTGCCAAAAGATACAACACATTGCCGTGCCGTGGCACGAACCAGCAACCCTTCGGTCACGAGCCCGGCGTCCTACCACTATACTACCGTGCCTCCTACCGTGGTGAGACGCCGGGCTCGTGACTGAAGGGTTGCGGGTTCAAGTCACGGTACGGAACTATGTTGTATCTTTGAGCAATATTTCACTCCGCTTGTTCCAGTCTACTCAGCTGTAAATGAATACGTGGTTGGACAGTGCTAATGGTTGAATGTTAACTCTGAGCTTCGAAATGGCAGCACCAGCTGTATGCTTCTCAGGGAGTTGAGAAAGATATTGACTGATTGCAAAGGCCCTACAACCACGGATAATAATGTGTGAATCGCTTTGACCTGCGAACTTGGTTTTGATAAAACGGCAAATAAGAACCTCCAATTATTATTATTATTACCACTAGACTACCGTGCCTCCAACTGTTACTGTTTGTGTTAAAACATATATTATTCATGCCAAACTGATGAGGGTCATTCCAAACAGCTGTGAAATATCAGTCCCCAAGGCTGGCTATAACCCTATTGCTGAAAACCATGCATGCACGATTTATATGATATACTATGCTAATAAATTATTATTTGTAGCTAAAATAAAAAATGTGTAACGTTAGAAAAGATTTTGAAGGCAAAATCCCTCTTCTGCTGTTCATACATATCGGAATATGTTAGACACTGGTTTTAGTATCGTACTTATGTTGAGTCTGAAATGGAAGAAATGACCAAATGGTTTAATAAATGTTGGCTTTGTATGGTTTTCTACGTCAATCTCCTATTTAACAAAATAGATGGTTGGTAGGTATTTATTATTAGAAAAACCAAGTTGCATAGTTTCACCCCGAATCCAGATGTAGGAACACAGTAGCAATAATTTTGTCTCTCCGTTTTACTCTCAGTCCAACCCAACGTAAGTAGTTTCCAAATATAGTTTTATATATGATTCCGCCATTATTCTTTACCTTCATAGTTGTATTAATCATCATGTAAGAACGACCACTATTGTGTGTGGGAGATGTTAATTGTACATGTTTATAAAATTACGGTCGCCTTTTAGCTTTGTGCTGCTTCCATTAAGCTCAAGCAGTAAATTGAATGGCGGCCTGGGAAACAGGGGTTTCAAGTTCGATCACCTGTAACTCTCTCTCTCTCTCTCTCTCTCTCTCTCTCTCTCTCTCTGTCTCTCTCTCTCTCTCTCTCTCTCTCCCTCTCTCTCTCTCTCTCTCTCTCTCTATATATATATATATATATGAGTGTAAGGCGTACGCGGTCTCTGTCTGTCCTGTCGATATTCTGGTTACTTGAAATTTCACTCTGGTTGTTAATATTTGGTGCGAGCACACTACTCTCTTTCATGTTACTTGTATATGAGTCAAAGATGTCAATGTTAGGGCGCACGCGGTCACTTCATGTCCTGTCAATGTTCTGGTAATTTTAAATTTCACCTTTGGTTGTTTATCTATGGCTCAACAATGCAGGGGAATAAATAATTAAATGATGCACTTAAGTCTTCCGTAATGTAAACAAGCTATTATAACGTGACGACCAACGAGTAAAATACCTGATTATAGGCGGGCTAACATACCACGATAAAGCCGACATAGGCTTATACCTAAACACGTCATCTCATGCAAATACACACCAATGTGGTCATGATATAACATTGGAGAATGAATGTTTTATCAGTGAATGTGTCCTTTGATAAGTTCATTTCTGGTGTAAGCATTTTCGACTATTGTACCGGCCGACAGCTGACTGTAGGGAATACTTCTGGTTCACAATATTCCATTATATTATCGCTGCTATGAAATTCATTGAATACAAAATTGATTAAACATAAATATCATTTTAGGAATATTATAAGTAGGATAGGTTAATACAGGTGCAATGAACTCACATGATCTCTCTTTAAAATCTTTACTGAGGACAGAGGTCTATAGAACACGTATAAGCTATATAACGAATCAGCCCTACTGCAAAACCTAAGAAATCAACTAAAACTAACATTAGAAATTCAAAATCGATAGGCTTTTAGGCAAATCCATATTATTGTCAACGGGAGAGATAGCACTTTGAACGTGCTTTTATATTCAACGCGTGGGAATATTTATATTTACTGCCCACAAAAGAAAACCTTAAAACTGAATGATTAACCAATGGGATAACTTAGCCTTTTTCCATTTTGATATCAAGGTAAAATTACATATACAGTCAGACAGGAAAAGATCTCATTACACATGTTTTTGTTTTTTACAATGTTAAATTACGAAATTGTCATTCAGCTCTCAAAAACACTATATGATCCGAAGCAATAAAACGAATAAAATGAAATATTGCCTTAATAATTTTCAATGTTACAACATGGTACATTTATGTCTCTAAACCACTCTTAATACATAAAAGAAGTCTAAACAGTTTAAAAAAAAGGTAAAACAGATAGAAGAAGAGATCATAAAACAAAAACGATAACGTATTACTCATATAAGTACAGCTCATCCGTAGCGTGCGGTACCGGGCTAGTATTACATGATTGTAAAGCTCATTACATGTACAAAATTAAATAAGATCATCGCAATGTATGCACGCTACCAAGTCATACATAAGATAATTCCGCTCGTGTTTCAACATTTGTTTTCCTTTGTCTCCTACACAGTGAAAAGGGCAGTTGTCTGAAGAACTTACCAGGAAGTGTTTGATAAGAATAACATACGTCTATGTTCACACAGTGCTGTATCCATTAGTCCGAGATGAATTTAACTGGAGCGTGTGTGTCGTTGCTCTGTGTCGGTGTGATAGTAGGGACCCTGGGGCTGGACCAGACCCTGCAGCCCGGGGGTAATGGTGCGAATGTGGTGGAGGCGGTTGTTTCCAGGATTCGAGAGTCGTGCCTGTTCGCAGACGACAAAGGCTTCCTACGGCGTCTAGCTTACGTCCAGTCTTACGACGGAACCGACCCCAAGACGTACCGCCCCGGTTACGATGGTGGTATATGGCAGGTATTTATCCTTACTATAAAAGTAGTATATTCAAACCATCCATAGACGGTCAGTTATATTAAGGCTTACTACCACATGTATGCGCTTATTGTCAGAAATATACAGGTCTAAAAACTGCTACTATTTTCCCAGAGAAAAGTTGGCACAGTAAAGGGGTTTGGCGATAAATTGAGGGAAATGTCCAGAGGAATTTTAATGAAAATAAGAAAAAGGGATATAGAAATATGACGAGGGTAAACTAGGTGGCAAATGAAACGAGGGGAGTTATATCGATGTTTGATTTTATATTTTGTTAATTCAGGATCGGAACGTCTTATTTTCCTGGCACTTTTTCAAAGGTTCCATGAAAACACCCTTTTTGTTCCTATTTGCCCGGTACAATCTTTTCTGTGTTCGAATTACGATTTTGTTTCGTTTTCTCACGAACACGGGCTTTCATGAATACTGAAAAGTGTCTGACAAGAATTATACCAATTCTTTATTTATGGATACATATCAGGCATATATTTCATAAAGTTTACATGATCTTTCTTTCAGTTAAGCATTAGTAAGTTCCTGGAAACGAAATACAACAACCACCTACTCGAGGAGTATAACCTTATCGCCGACAAGTTTAACATAGACTGGGGCCAAGTACAGTGGGGTGACCTGAGAAAGCCACTCTACTCGGGGATAGCCGCCGCTCTCTTCACAAAGATACACGGAGGCGTGGGATGGCGGATCGAGGACCAGGCTCAGTTCTTTGCCAACAACTTCCTGAGTATGGCTGGAAACAACTTTACTAATTTGGCCGAAATTCTAGCCCAAGGTAGATATCGATTGGTTTCGGATTTCTAATTCTTATCCTTTAGGATCACCTGATTACCCCTCTACTGTCTACACTTCATCGAATGTATCAATCAATACCTCATCCAATCATACACTAGTAATCTCATTCGACATATCACGTCACTTAAAACGTATAATTCTCCCATGTGTACGACAGATATTGCTTTATGGTCATTTTCCTCTCTAGGATGCTCAAACACAAAGAAGATAGATCTGGTGTTCGTCATGGATCAGTCCAACAGTCTATCAATGGATGACAACATACGGTCGAAAATGTTCATTCAGGACATTGTCAATGACTTCCAGGTGTCATTAGACAAGACAAGGGTTGGTTTGGTGACTTATTCCACTCATGCAACAACAAGATTTCATCTAAACACGTACGGCAGTAGTAGCGCGGTGTCTACAGCGATAGACAACGTACCGTTCGACAGTGGAACCACTGCAACAGACGAAGCTCTCATCAAAGCACTCACGGATGTCTTCCAGGTAGGCTGTTTATTTACCATAACCCACTGCTATTATTCTTACGTCTTTCAGACAGCAAAATATGTTCTTAATACATTATAACCAAGCACTCTTGCATAAGTCCAGTGAAAAAATGAAGACTTACTCTAATTACTGTAGTAACACAACGCTGTATTACTATCTTCCTTGGTAGATTGCAATGTCAGTTATCTATTATTATTATTCAGGCCTTAACGCTAGTATGTCGTCAGACCTTGCATTAGGCATTTGAAAGCATCATATCTGCAAGAAGTTTTATTTTCATAATATTAATATGGTTAAATACGGCTATCGCCTTCATCGTTTTTATTTAGGTTTATTTAGATTTAAAGAATCTTTTAAAGCCGATACACGCATATGTTACTGATAATTAATCATTTAAAATTCACCAGTATGCTTTTTATTTCTGTAAGTAGTACAGTAGGGTAAAAGCACATTCCTTCTGTTTCAAAGGTAGTTTTCCCAGTTAAGATTTCCACCTTTTTTACTCTTAGCATGACTGAAGAGTTTTAAAAGGACGGAATAGCTGTATGGTGTTGTAATGTAAAATCACATATGTGTGTTACGGTCATTCTCCCATACCGTCTCTTCAGGTGTCCCATGGAAGCCGCCCGGATGCTGTTAAGGTTTTGATCGTCATCACAGACGGTGTTTCTAACGACCGACTAAACACCATCCACGCTGCCCAGGGGATCCACGACAACAACATCGTCATCTTCTCGATTGGAGTAGGCAGTCACATCAACCACGCCGAGCTCAACGCCATAGCAACGAGTCCGTCCTGTACTCACGTGATGACAGTGTCAGGCTACACCGACCTCACGGCGCTCAAACAGGAGATACAAGAGAAAACGTGTAGAGGTAAGAGTTATGCATTATAGTAGAGGTACAAGTAAAAATCCTTCTTTGTAAACACAATCGTTAATTTATTCATTATAGAGGTACAAGTAAATATATCTCTTTATAGTCATAATCGTTAATCTATTCATTGTAGAGGTAATTTTTCTCTTTATAATCATAATCGTTAATTTATTCATTGTAGTGGTACACGTAAATATATCTCTTTATAATCATAATCGTTAACTTATTCATTGTAGAGATACACGTTAATTTCTCTCTTTATAATCATAATCGTTAATTTATTTAGTGTAGAGGTAAAAGTAAATATCTATCTTTATAATCATAGTCGTTAACTTATTGACACTTAAGTTTAAAAAATACATAAACCGCAGCTAATAAGCATTTGCCTCCCTGTATCCCCTGCGTTAACTATATCGGGTTTAATTCCTCTTGCTGGAAATTTGGTTATAGGGGACTTCAGGAAGTTTAAGATGAAAATATCATTTACCCGATCAGTAAGGATAACTGTACTGCAATGTTCTTAAAGCTCATACAAAAGTTGTTTATTATGATATATTTTTCTACGAAGTATATTATAACATAATATACGAGCCTCACAATATTCACATAATTTTCTACCTTATTGCTATGTGTTTTTCTAATCGCATTTACCTAGAAAAAAATAAGTACCAAGGTGGATGTATATGAACAGATTATTGCTTCATACGATTATTCCGTCTTTTCGTATTGCAAAGTTATCTGCTCTTGATAGCAGGTATTGATTGTTACGTCATCTGTTTGGGAGAGCAACGTCATAATTTTTTGAGAAATCGAAATCGCACACAAACTAATGACGTAACAATCAATACGATAACTCTGCAATACGAAAAGACCGAATAAACTTAGTTAATGTCACTTGATGGAACTCTGGCATTTGGCGACTTAAGAATGTAAATAGGTAAAATGCTAAATGTATCTGAAGCTCAGAATATTTATGTGATGAATGGTTTCAATGTTTTAATATTTTTAATCAATAAAGCGTTTTATTAAATAATATTAAGTATGCTGTTGTCACTCGTGACAAGTGTACCAACACCTTAGGGAATAATCAACACTGATTTTTTGTCAGACATACCCTCGATGAGATTCCGCTTATTTTACCGTAGTCTTTGGACACCATGGAAGATAGTAATGATGAAGCATAAAATACTGTACGAACTTAACGAGATTTGGGTGTTGGGAAGGATAATTGCTTATTCCGTAGAAAATCGAGCATCTATAGAAATCGTTGTATGTACATTTGCCAATAAAGATATGTTATTCATTGTATATTTGCTGAATTGTTAAAATACTTAATTTACAAAGTTGATAACGTGTCAATCATATTTCCTGCACTGACTTATGCAACGACATGATGTATAACGTTCAGTTATCAACCTAGGTCGTATGTGGCACAGTATCCCATTCACAAAAGAAAGGAAATATCGAGAGATTTTCTCTTAAACGAAATTACAATGGCAACAGCAAACTTGTTGCAAGCTGGTATGCCTCTCAAAAAGCTAGCTGTAACAAAGAGATCGACTTTTGAATGATGAAAGAAAGCCCTCCTTTGTGATGACACCATACCGTTCAGGGAGTTACCCAAGGTCTCAAACTATTGATATATGTATAGATATATAAACTTGCAAGTGGTATATATATAACTGGCTGGGGAAATAAAATATTTGAAATGTTTAAAAAAGAAAAAATCATTTGTTTGATAAAATCCTCAGCCTTAACGTCCTATAACTGATCAAGCTCAAGCCGCTATGTAGCTTTTTTTAAGGACGCAAATGAAAATAAATAAAGGACACAAGTGAAAATAAATACAAATTTATTACATATATTATATAATATTATATTTAATCGGTGTCTACAAACATGACTGATCCTGATGTTGAAATTGCTAAGTAAGCGTATGCCCTAATGGGCATTTCATATCAAAGTTAATCAAAATAATACTTGTATGTGTATGCGGTTGAAATCAAAGTAACGAGTGATTTTATTAAATTGGTTATGTGTTATTTATTTGTTGTTTTAAATTTTACAGCTCCCGTATATATACAAATGAACCACACCTACACGTGTGTGATGGAGGAGTGTCCTCCCCTTGCAGTCATTACGCCACCAGGAGGTGTTACTGTAGAGGTAAAGTCGAAATGATAATTAGTAATATAATTCACGTGATTGCAACTATACGGTTGTATTTATTACATTGGACAAAAATGTTATATTTCCCTCAACGAAGTTCATTATCACAATCTAAATAATAACTATGTTTGCTGTTTTCTGTATACAATTTAAATACACGATGAACAGCATTCTATTAAATCATTCTTTTCATCCAGACTAACGTGACCTGCGGTAAAATCACATTATTCACGGCCTTTGGAAACCCGTTCCCAGGAAACTCTTTCTACGAGACGTTTTCTCAAACTGAGGCTGCTGATCTTGGTGCCCTGTTCAGGAACACCACTACCACTCAGACGCTTTTCATGAGTCTTGAAGATGCACTCGCTCTGACCAATGGGACCAGGGGTTGTACCATCAACGTAACGCCTTACAATGGAGATCATCGTTACCATGGTAACTCAAAGGCATAATCTTTGCCACAACTAATATATGAATGTATCCTTAGCGTATACAGCTTCGCCGGAAAGCATGAAGATTCAATACGCAAACAACGTGCATGTACACATATGAACTTATGTTTTTGTTCCACCGATTATACCACACCATGACGTTAAAGAATTATGCAATAGCTGAGAAAAAATAGATTTGTTCAAACTTTTGGTGTCGTGCATGCGATATACTGTTTTTAAGATAAATATAACTCGTTGCTTGATTATAATTTACGAAATTTATGTTTAACAGAAGTAAAGTGCTACCTGAATGGTGACCAGATTGAGTGCCCAAACGACTGTAAAGGTAAAGTGGCTGTATATAGAAACGTTATTGTTATAAGTAACGAAAACACAATTATCGGTCATCAATTTAATTAGTGATTTCCTTTTAGATCTGTCATACTTTACAAGCTTAATAAATAAAAACACAACTTACCACGTGGAATACGAACACCAATTTTAGATACCATAAGAGATTGCTTGATAGAGCTTGTGGTGCGTTAGAAACCATTAGCAACATTGGAACCAAATCCAGAAGTCTTGTTTTTCGATGATAATAACATAAATTACTTTATCAGCAACAAGTAGAGATTGGGCAGAAACGTAGCTAATACATCATCGTAATGGTTCCTCTATCTGAAAGCATCGTAACTATTTCGTTTCTATACTTACAGAACCCTGGGGATATGGCAACATATGCACAAAGGAAAGTTTACTTGCCGGAATCACGAAATTTCCGCATCCGGATGATTCGACCAAATATCTAGAGTGTGATATCCAGGGCAAACTTTATGTGGTACAGTGTCCTCAGAACGAATCCTACTACGACGACTGTAAGCAGTGTATTGGGGGTGAAACACCCTGCGTCAAACCAGGTACTCCGCTCTCAACCGCCATTGGAAACCCTTGTTCGGTGGAAGCTATCTTGGCTAACAAGTTTTTCTTCACCTACCCATCCGACGTGACAAAGTTTATCCATTGTGATGTCTGGGGCAAGGCTTGGGTACGGCCGTGTCCTCAAGGGGAAGAGTGGGATCAGCATGAGTTGACCTGTATCGTACCCTCCAAAATTGCTAACCCTTGCCGCTCTAGATCCTCCGGAGATCCGTTTCTGTACACGTACCCCTGTGACCCGACTAAATATATTCAGTGTGATCTTTGGCATGAATCGTTTACCCGCCAGTGTAATCCGCCATCTTTCTACTTCCAACAATCATCAGAGTCTTGCGTAAGTCCACTGACATTCGTGCCGACCACCCCACGCCCGGGAACTTGTGATGGGGTACCAGCTACGATCACTAACCCTGCAATCATATGGACCCAAGCACCACAAACAGCGGCACCTACCAATGGACTTCCAGTGATAAACACGCCGTCAAGTAATGGGGCGTACCCTTTCTGTCGCAACTGTGCCTTGTACACTTCGCCCTGTGACGCGGAGCACATTCGTCAAATGAAACTGTACTTCCCCGTGCTAGGTGACCGCCATCACTACATTCAGTGTGATCTGACCGGCCACATGTACTTACAGACGTGCACCAACAACGGACTGGACTATTTCGATCCCATCACTTTCACTTGTGTCGACGGTGGCCTGGCGGTTGACAATCAGCTAGGCCGCTGAGGATCGAACTAGCCGCGACCTATTTTGATATCTTTTCATTACAAACAGCATGTACTTCGTAACATTGGTTTCTAGTTTTATTGTGGTTTGTAAAACCGAATTATTTATATGAAAGCATAAATATAGACCAAGGTTGCTTGTTGTAAAAAGTCATGAAAATTTTGCTGACTAAATTAATATGAAGTTTTTGACTAATCGTTTTGAAATTACATTTTAACGTCAATGTTTTGGTCAAAAAGACCTTTGCATATCTGAAATAGTTCCTTATCTATGCTATTGGAACAGATTTTTAAAAAATCATTCAAATTTATCAACAATAATTTTCCTGTAAAAAAAAACATTTTAAATAACCTTGTAATCGTTCTGTTATTTTAAATACTTCTACTATCACATAAAAACATCAGAAGAAAATTAAAATATTTTACGTATTTTTCGTATATAGTTTCTATTAAATAATGTAAAGCCACTCACAAAGACTTAACTTGAACATTATATTAAAATGATTTAAATATGTATGGGGTAAAATTGAAACAGCACACAACTACCGAGAAAAGTGAATAGTACGTAGTAGCTATTTGTGGTGCATCACCTATTGATCAAATGAATGTATTCAAATCCTATGAAATACAAAACCAGACTGTAATTTAGAGGGTATGCTTAAGCGGCCCAACGGGCCTGTATCACTCATCTGCTACACTCTGATGTTTGCAGACATATATCACGTCTTCAATAAGATTCATTAGTTTGGAAATATGTGCTATCAAAGTTTTACTTTCTACACAAACAATGTATGTATTAAACGTGTCGCAACGTTTCAAGTCCGACTGGTCTCTTTCCCTAGGTTACAGGTAGGGTGTAGACCTGGCCTGATCAGATCACAGTAACATCAAAAATCACATCGCCGATTGGGACAATGCCAAGATAGTTGAAACGAGACAAATCAAAGAAGCAATCAGCAATCGAAATCAGGAAACTCCGAACATGAACAGAGACGAGGGGGAACACCAGTTGAGTCATCTGTATGAACCGATACTGACATANGGGGGCGGGCTATATCTACACCCTACTTGTAACCTATCTAATGCAATGGTATACGCTCCCTATGGGTAGTCGAAACGTCCCGGGTCGAGTGACATAAAACATATACAATTTCGTCACTTCGTTGTACAGGTAAAAAACACCAATCGGTCACTCAGTCATAGCTTGACAAAGGGAACAGTCGGTCGTGAAACGTTGAGACATTTTAAATACGTACATGGTTTGTGTAGAAAATAAAACTTTGATATCATATATCACGTCCATGATTATCAAAGTGCGCCAAGGTCAAATTTATTTAAATAAATATGAAAGAAGGCAAAATAAAAAAGACAGCACCAACAAGAAAATATTAGAGTATCAATAAAACCATAATTCGAACTCAAAAAAGATAAAACTAGGGCACAATATGAACAAAGAAAAGATTTGATTTACATGGAAACCCTTGAAAAAGCACAAGGAGAATAAGATCAGGTGTTCCAGAAGGGTAAATGTCTTCTGCTTCACCGATGATACCCGCCATGGACATCTAAGTCGAATCCATGTAATGCCACGTCCTCGCATCGATATCTCGGGTAGTGATAACAAAACCACAAGACACTCTCATGAGCATAATAAAAATATCGACCTTCATACCATACAGATAAAAAGCATATTTTTCTGTGATATCCCGATGGCGGTCATAAAACCTATCCACATTTGTCATCAACTTACGTCTTTGGAAACCCTGTGTATATGTTTGTTGTCAGCAGTCGACATCTATCACGGAAGTCATGATATTCGAAGCAAGCTCTTGAGTACCGAGTTAACTGCGACAAGAAGAACTGTAGGTAAGGGAAGAACTGTTGCTATCAAGAAAGTGAAAGTTCACGATCGGGAAGTCGAACTCGTCCCGCTTATTGTACTAACATTAGAGGCTAAATATCATTTTTCCTTTTGGTCTGTAATTTTCTGCAACAGAGCAAACATAAAAAATCAATCAATGCCGAGAACCAATACAAGGACCATGAATTTGTATTCTAGGGTTCAGTAGCCAAAAGTAAATCGCTTGTTAATTAAAAACGCATTGTTTTGTCCACTTTATCTAAACTTCAGAAACGCATTATTGAGACAATGGCAAAACACCATATACATGTCGGTGATCAATGGTCAAATCAAAGATGCTATTATATTAATTTCAGGAAAAATATCAAACTTTACAATCATCTTCATTAGCCGCTCAAAGGCAACCTCCCGCAAATATTAAACACGAAATGACCAAGCAACATAAGCCAATTGACAGCAGACCTGCTTATTGTTGATTTAGAACACTTAAAAGACATAACAAATAAAATTAAAGAAAGAAATTTATATATAGCACAAGGCCAATTCACAAGGATGAAATCGGAATACAAACTCGATTCGAAGAGGTTGCTCCGGAAGGTTAAGCTTTAACGGTATCACATGTGGCGCCCGTTACCTTACCTCTTTTTCTTAGTAAGTAGGGCACTACCGTCTGAAACATAGTAAACAGATCCTTAATGATGGTAGATGTCAGCTCTCGTAATTGGAAAATGCATTTCAAATTGACAACCGTAAATGTTATTCGCGTCCTTTGAAACCTCTCAGGTGGAAAACTCAAAAACTTTTATTGGTAACCAAGGCAAGTCCATTCAAAAATCTAGATACTTTGAACAGTCTTCAGAGATTCAATTGTAAACAGCTTAAGCACACGAGGATGGAATGTTACCTCTGAGGAAAACGGTGTTAATTATCATCAAATCAATGTCGACATGTTTTTCATTGGGTTTGGTAACAGCTGAAGGGAGAAGTCGGTATTCTCTTTAATTTGAAAATTCAGTCGCTGTAGAAATCATTGTTATTCAAGGACAAAGCGCCAATATTTGAATGTTTATGGAATATTATCCCAACACAAAGAATTGTTCCTAATTCAGACCGTGACAAAACCCCACTGTGATCATCCAAAAGTACAACATATTTACAATAAAAGTAAAGAATCATAATAAGAACAAATAAAACATCTGGATGGTTGAATTATTTTGGAAAGCTTCGTACCTTTTCAATAAACTGTATATCAGTATGATGAAAAGTTGTTCATATATGTTCAAAACTATGATTGGTTTATACTCGTTGCATACACTCAGAACGCATTAGCATGCTGTTGACATGTCGATTACTAATAATCTAATTTTATTAACGAATCCTTATGTTTGAAACTTTGATTTTTTTCTTAAATGATAGGTGTTCCTTACGGTGTACAGAATAGATAATTCACGTTTTAGAAAGATTTAAACTGAAAAAAAAAGAAGAAAAAATAAAGGCCTTTATTCAGGCATCATTTTGATATTCTTTTAACTGTTATTTTTCTGATGCAATGATCATTGACAAAAAAAGGTTAATTAATTTACTTGCTTTTATAATTGATGAAATATATCACAGTTTCAACACAAAACGGCAAAATATATCGAAGCACTAATTGTTTGTTTGCGTGTGTTCGTAAGAGTTGTTTTACGTCCGCGTCACTATCGAATAGTTCGGTTATCCTGCAGACGAAGAATCGAAGGGAAAAGAAAAGATAGAAAAAGATGATAAAGGAGTGAAGAGATAGAAAAGGGTGATAGAGGAGTGACGGGATAGAAAAGAATGATAGAGGAGTGAAGAGATAGAAAATGATGAAAGAGGAGTGAAGGGATAGGAAAAGATGAAAAAAATGAATTTTGTAGAGGCAATTCGTTTTTTTGAGATCGTTCTTAATGTTTAATAAAGAGAGTCAAATTATGTCTGCCGAAACAAACCTGACCCTAACGTCTTTGGAAATAATCAGAGGGATTTTTATCACACAAGGTTGGACAGTTCTCAAACGGGCCACCATTCATGGTCCAATCCGACGGACTATAGGTTAGTGGTTAGAGTCATGCAGGTACTATTTTTTGTTGTCCGTTTATTAATCTGTTCCTCATCATTCGTCACTTGAAATAAGCTGGCTGTACCAATCACCAACACACATCACCGCAAAAGTTCTGCGTCACACACGGCATCCGTCATAACCTCTTGTGGCACGCTTCATTGTGGATCTCGGTTAATTATGAAAGTATTTTGGTCACCAATGAATTGATCTTATTGTTGGAAAGGAGCTTTCTAAATCCCTTCTATATTGCATCGGGCTATCCAAAGCAGACTAATAGTGAGAAACACGCGGAGTTTTGAAGTCTGCTGTTAGTTTCAATGTCAATTAAGGTTTTGAATGAAAAGATGGCAGCGTTTTCCCCTCATTTTTCATTGTTTTATCTTGCTAACAGAATGAGATTCAACAAAAGAATACTTCTTTTATATCAATTAAGGGTTTCTAATAAGAAGCATATTTCCTTGCTTTCAGTGTGGGACCCCTACCTTGGCTCTGGCCCTGACACGCTGGAGGCCTATGCAGTATATAACAGATGTATTTGAGGGGGAACTACTGCCTTATTGGCAAGCTAGATTTTCGAGCGATGTGGTATAACCCGGGGATCCGCTCACTAGTTCAGCAACGTCAAGCTCCGGGTCAGTAGTTGGATGGGTAACCACCCGCACGTTACAATTGGTGGCAGCGGTGGGATTCAGTGTGATAGAAAATGTGCATTGATACACAGGGAGAACCCACGAGATTCCCAAGGCCAAGACTTCTTGGAGGGGGAATTTGAGGGGAAAATACTGTCTGCATGGGTGACCGCCTGCATGTTACAGCAAGCCTTCCCACTTGAAAGTTTTGCTACACATCGAATAAACCTCAGCTAGACCCCCCCCCCCCCCCTAAAAAATACAAAAATTACCATACCAGCATTAAAATAAAAATAATGTTCTTTATAACCCAGCTTTCTGACAGAAATCCAGTTTAACCATCAACAACAAAAATATAACGTGGAATAGCATTTGATGATACATGTAAACATATTGTGTGTCAAGCACCTGTGGCTTATGTATAATGTTATTAACATATGTACTGATAATGCGCAGTCAGTTTTGTACACAAAACTTCAAGATATTCAACAAAGAAGACGTAATATCGGAGTAGATACCAAAGCAAACACAAGTTTACAAAGATGGGAGAATCTTATAGTTGGTATTTTGCATACAAGACAAAACTTGGCTGTTCATCATATTACCCACCTCAAACGCAGTTTCCGCAACAGCCAGTCAAATCAATCACAGCAACGATCGACATATCCGATCCCAGGCTTCTGTCGCGAAAACAATATAGTTTTTGTGTTTGTTTATAATACAATATTTAATGACAATATTATCACATATGTTTTCAATTATTTGATTTTTAATTTGAATTCAATTGAACATGTCCTTAATTATCTCCAATTCATTTGAAGGTGTCTTCAACTGAACTGAACCTAGCAGCAATTGAATTAAAGATATTTTTTAAAATATAAAAGTGCAGATCAAATAAATAATTGCATTGCTGATCAGTTATGTAGTTAATTAAAGATATATCCTGAAGTTAATTGCAGACAACTTTCATTCTTCGTTTGAATATACCATTGCAGTCGAAGATATAATGTATCGTAAAATATATTAGAGATATATTCTGTTGAATTGTACCTATCTGTTGTCTTCAATTATTGAAAATATGTGCAATTATTTGAGTATATGTTTATTTGGCGCTTTCAGGAATGGCAAAGTAAATTTCATAATTGCATATATCTTCAAATAATTGAAGATAGATGCAAGTAATGGTGTCTGGAATTAAATGTATTTAACTAATATTATAAATATATGTACTTGAGGTTAACATAAATGCACATATGTATATCTTCAAGTAGGTACATTTTGTATATAGGTTCAAGTTTTTGAATGTATTCAACTCTTTACTGAAAATTCATAAAACGCGTTCCACAAACATTGTTATGAATTTTACAATAAAGAATAATTTATGAATGAAAAAAACAAAAACAAAAAAATCGTGAAGTTTGGTGACAATATAAAACTTTGCATTGATCAAGAACAGAGTAACGTCCCTTACTGTAATGGCCGCCTCCATAGTAGACGACAGCAACCAGCAAGAATTTTAGCTACTAGCACATTAGTGATTACTGTTCCGATCAAAACGTATTGTAAGTATTTAAAGGTAAAAAGTGATAAGATTTAGTTAAAATAATAGCATTGTCACTAATTTTTTATTCATATTTATACGCTGGTCAAAGTCGAATTTCTGTCCAAGCAATTTCTGACTGCCATAGCCTAGGCGCTCGTATAAACCTATCTGGAATTGTAAACACCTTCAATTAAAATCCAAAATCCACGTTGTACACAAAAATCCAAAATCCACTATGTACGCAATCGTGAAATTTGTATTTTAAGGCTCAGCAAGCCCCCTGAAAGATGGTATACACCGCCCCCCCCCCCAAGTCATATTCAATTTCTCAAATTGAAAATAGGAATACATATGCAATTTGAAAACATTGCAGTGGCGGATCCAGAGGTTTTTTGGGGGCTTCAGGACACACACCCCAGCCTGAGAATTTTCTTTAAAAATCATGTATTTTCATCAATTNCCCCCCCCGATAGGTCTCTGGATCCGCCACTGCATTGTATTATCTTTAATATAAGGAACTTGTATTTGTATTAGTTACCAACTGTGGAGAGGCATACCTACCTTAATTTAAATGTACAAATGTAGATAGACGTTGCCATCCAAAACAACTAAAACTATCTTGTAATAACATTTTATAATTAGCAGATTATAAATAAGAAAACAATTTTAAAGTCAAAGTAACTTTAATCATTAAATGAAATTAAGATATGTGCCATTTCATAGCATTCTGTGCTGGAATTAATGCGCTAGCCATGTTATAAAACTTGAAGGTGAGAATTAAGTGATATTAAATGCTAATCCTGTCAAACTTTTTATAACAACATTAAATATGTTACGAATAATACTTTATATGAAAGTTTATGAATTCATTACAGTCGAAAGGCCATTGGTTTAAGCAAAGCTGTCAAACCTGCCTCATAAGGAGGGAAACACTCACTTTGACAAAAAATTAGCAATCTTCCTCGAATTTCCCTCATTGAAAGTTCAAACTCACACAAAGTCAAAATGAACATCCTGTAGTCAAATGATCTTCTAGTAATACTCCAGGTTGTATGTGGTGATCTTAACAGGTGTGTCTGAATCCGGTGCATGTTTTTTGAGTTATTTTGGTACATATATATAGGGAAATTTAGATAAATTGAGCAAAGCAGTTTCAGTCGCGTTTCACACACATTCTCCCTCATTGGAAATGTGGAATGAGGGAGATCTCCCTCATATGGAGGTTTCAGAGGTTGACACCTATAAACATGTACAGGTTTAACATAAACATTGTATATACTGGTAAAATATGTTGTTCAAACACAGTAAAAAGATTTTAGTGCATCTTATTTGCTGAAATCATATTGATTTGAGGCTGGTATGTTTCTCTACAGCTGGTGATCGAAAGATAAAATTACCTCTGCATGACCTAAGTATATAATTGAACTTTAGATTATATGTCATTTTGTAGCATTCAGCTAAAGAGATTGACAAGCTATAATTCCAGTGAACTGTTTTTATAAAGTTATCAGCCTGAATGTTTTATTATTGGCTACGTTAACCATGCTAAGCACCCATTTGATAGCTAACGTTTTGTATTCAGTTTCCTCAAGATGATGTCGACAAGACTCCTCAAGAAAATTACTGACAGAATGATGAGAAAAAACAGAATACACCAGCCACAATTCTGGTCACAAGTGTCGCGCTACATGTCCAGTGATAAAGGCGATACCCCTGGCAGCAAACCTGGCATCGTTTCCTCAAAAATCACTGACACCAAACAAAGTCAAGGTCCTAAATTTGTAGACGAGTCCGAACTGCATCCCGAAAATGTCAAACCAGCAGGAAAAAAACTTCAAAGTTTAATCATCGGTAAAGGTAGTGAAGGTGATCCAACATTTGTTCCGGGGCAGACAGACATTGCTATTATTGGTGGGGGACTGGTTGGCTCAGCTGCAGCGTTCTGGATTAGGAAGCAAAGCAAGAAAGGATACAGTGTGACGGTCATAGAAAGGGACTCCAGTGTAAGCAACATCTTCTGAACATCTTGAATGTCTTTGAATATTTTAACATCTTGAACTGTAGTAAGAACTCTATCATGATCATGTTGCTTGATAACTGTTTGAACTGGGTCCATTACAATTCATGAAGAAATTCTCGTGCTCAAGCATGAATTTTGTGCTCAAACCAATGTTTGTTATCTTGAAGTAAATAATGTGACACTGTCAAGAATTGAAGTCTTGACATTGAAAATGGTTGTGGCTTCATTTCACCCTGAAATTCTTGCAAATCATTGAAAGATGTGAAATTTGAATGAGTAACTTTTCACCGAAACGAAGGAAGTGGGCTTGACCGCATAACTCGAGTTTGAGCATTAGAAAGTTTTCATGAATATGAGTGTTGAAGTATCACAGGCATTCATAAATATGTTATCAGTAATAGTCTAGGTCAATGATCACCCACTGCTAATCTATCTATGTGCATATAGCAGAACCTTAAAGGTGTACTGCAATTTTTTGTGTAGTGATATAATGGTATATGTGTTAGACAAAAAAATGTTTCCGGTAACATGCCTGAAAAAAACAGGGTAGGAAAATAATTTTATTCAATGTTGATTTTTTATTTTCATGAATTAATATAATGCTTTATTTCAAATTTTACAATGCATTTCCACACATTACAGGTATCCCAACCTACCCTAGATTTTACCGCTGACCCTAGATATTTATCACCTACTTGTATCGAAGATAAATTTATTAGCCAGGCAAACTTCAAAGCCATTCATTAAAATGTACTTTCTTCCTGTTCTGGAAGTCTGACCTTATTCTTGACAAACCTATAGCCATTGTAATGTGTGGAAATGCATTGTAAACTTTGAATTAAAGAATAATATTAATTCATGAAAATAAAAAATAAACATTGAATACAATTATTCTCCTATCCTATATTTTTCAGGCATGCTACCTGAAACAAACACTGTTTTTGGCCTTTTAAGTTATTTTGGGACAGGTATCTTGGGACATGTGTAAAGCAAAAATTGGATGTTGAAATATAAAGCAAGGTGGAAAGTGAAACAAGTACCTCGTATTGAGATATTACTGTAAGTTTGATTACATGTGGGTTTAACCTGTCCTCCAGGGATGTACTACAAATACTATCTATTATTTACAGTATGCTCAAGCCTCTAGCATGTTGTCTGTGGGTGGTGTGAGACACCAATTCAGTATTCCAGAGAATGTGCAAATGTCCATGTTTACTACAGACTTTATCAGGAATATACACCACCATCTCGGCATTCTAGGTAAGCCACAGCTGTCAATTAATTCAATTGTATAAAATACATGTACCTGCTATTACTGATTACTAATGAGACAGTTCTATGTTATAGTCATCTTCGCTAGCCAAGGGGTACGATCTAGTACGATATACCTACTCTTCACTCTTAAAGAGTAAGTGGATCGTAACCCTTGGCTAGTGAAGATGTGTTATAGTATGCTTACGTCTTTCACAAAGGATTCTATAGACTTTTATAGTTACCGGTATATTCTTTTTATGAAATGTTTTTAATTGTAACCAAGCCAGTTAATTAGGCTTAAAGGAGGTACACCATTTTTAGTATGCTACATACTACCTTTCCAAAAGAATTCTATACCCTGTTATAGAAAATATATATATTCAAAGTAACTATAATTAAAATATATTTTTAATTGTTTCTTGGACCTTAATCAAGTTAATTAAGCTCAAAGGAGCTCTGTCATTTATGACTGCAGGAAGCCTTGTAGTCTACAAACTTATTTTTTTTTAAAGTATTTTATACTGAATATTTGTTATTTTGTTGTCAACTTATAATTAAAGGGGCTGGTCGGGGAAAAAATTACAAAAAAAATGTGTCTAAATGCATTCTCTGGCCTTCCAAAAGTTATATACCACGGCAATATGATGGTCGAGATCTGCTTGCAAAGTCCAGTTTTGACCAATGAAATCTCGGGTAAGCCCCGTGTAAATTTAGCGCAGATCTATTTATATATGTCACGTGGTTGTTTCAAAAGTGAGGCAGTGAAGATAACAACAATAGCACGCCATCATGTACCATGTAGGACTCAACTAGCGGACAAGACAGCAATACTATACATAAATAATTGTTTTCAAAGGTCATGTATGATGCAAGTGTAATATTCCTACCTATATGTTGTTGTTATATATAACGGAATTGATACCTCGTGCCTGTCATGACTTTTGCATGCATCTTTTTCTTTCGCCGCGATGTTTACATTTGGCCTTGTTGATGACGCGCGTGCGGTGAAATTACATCACTGATCTGGGTCAATTGAGAGTTTTAGACTGTCAGGTGACAATTTAGGATTTCTTTAATATAATTATAATTTTTACTCTTAGGGAGTGAAATTCAGCAAAATTTGTGTCGATATATTTCATAAGATGGTATTTTAAACATGTTTATGCCATTTTAGCAAATATGACATTTTTTCCCCGACCAGCCCCTTTAACATTATACTGATATGAAAATGTTGCACCCAAAAGGAGGTAAATTTTACGTCACACATGACAAAAAAAAAATGCAGGATAAATTATATTTTGATATCTGTTGTCTTTTGATACTGATTGATACATTCTTCCATCTTCTTGATGAAATTAAAAATCACCTCTTTCTCATCTTTAATTGGGAAGTTGGAATAAACAATATATTAAATTCTTGTATTGTAGGCCAAGAGCCTCCGGATGTACAGTTCCACCATCAAGGCTACCTCTTCCTGGCCTCAGAACAGAGTGCAGAGGTCCTCAATGAAAGCGTTCAAATGCAGAGGTTAGTAAAAAAAATCACTAGCTATCTTTAAAGTTTTTTCTCTTGCTAAATTTATCTTGAACAATTCCCAATAACATATCACACGCCTGTTTTCCTCCATCTGGAGAGGTCATGTGACTAGGCTTAGGTCATGTGACATTTACCTGAACAATGAACAATTCTAAATAATCGTTTAGGGGTATTAATATTTTCATGTTTAGTGAATTGACACTGTATCATTATACAGTACAACCTGTCTAAATCGGATGTCACTGGGAACAAACTCTTTGGCCGGTTTACACAGGTGTCCGGTTTATACAGGGTTGACATGTCATTTTTTGAAAACACAAAAATGTAGTGTTTTGCATACGATCTGTGTACAAGTTTGTCAACATAGCCAACAGAGACATGAATCAATTGCAACGTTTAATGATTTACAAAATATACAGTATATAATACAAATGAAAGGCGATCAATTTAGCGGTGTTACATGTACATTTGTATGTTCACTACATCAAGATCAACGTCAGCATTTTCACTGCATATCTTGAAAAATCCTATGTTGTTGCTTTGAAACTTTCTAACCACCCATTTGACGCTTACAAAAATCTGCCAATTTTAATTGTCTTGCTATTTGTAAGCCATTTCCTGCAAAATCGGTCCACTGATTTGGAGACTTTTTGCCCGGGCCTGCTCAAACCATTTCAGTACCAATGTGTTCAAATCAGAAAACTTTGAACCACTGTTATAATGTTTACAGGAACTAGAAACATTGTCAGAGAATTGTTTTTTTAGTTCCTCGTTTTTTTACCAAAATGTCCGACACTGTAGATATCCCGACTCCCTACAGTTGGGAAAGGTCCTTTTGCGTCGGTTTTGGAAATATTTCAAGTTTTTATCAATTTTTTTGTTTTGTTTCCAAATCTAATTCCTTCCAAGACCGCTTTGGGGATGGAATTTCACTTGAACCCAACAGTTTTTTTTTTCTGTTTACACGGTGTGCATGTACGATTCATCCTGAAGCCAAGCTACAATTAAACCCTCCACAATCATGTATGTCATTTATTATCAAAAATACATATAAAATAAGTTCACGCTATTGTATAATAAAATCGTGCATGCATTGTGAGTAGTTGTCGATCACCTCACGTAAGTTATAACATTCACAGATAAATGACCCCTTTGGCACCTCGCAGTCGACCCTGACTAATTTGTTTAGAATGTGTTTACTTTAGATTGTAGCCGGTCGAGAGAAAGTTCAAGACCGGAATGAACTGGTTGTTTTTACATGGATTACTATGCCAACTTTTGTGAAACAACACCGGTTTTCGGAATGGACAGGATCCGGTTTATACAGGGTTTAACTACTATGATTATATAGGGAATATGCTGGGACCACATATCACAGCTGGTTTAGGCAGGGATCTGGATAAGACAAGGGTTGGTTTGGACAGGTTATACTGTACTTGGTTGAATAAAATTGAATGTTCTGGGGAATGTTCAGCTGTATCATTTTTTATCCAACTTAATTTTGTATTACAGAGAACTCGGTGCCAACATTGAAATTCTCACTAAAAAGCGCCTAGCTCAGAAATATCCTTGGCTCAACTTGGATGGTATCGAATGTGCATCACAGGGTAAGATGTTACTGTACTATTGTAATGGTTGGTCTTTTGTTTGGTCATTTATACAAATGAGCTGGTTATTATGTCGACAATTAATGAAGTAAGTTGTTATTCTTTTAATAATTTCGCAATGAAGTTTGGGGAGAAACTGGAACCATTTTCTGTCTCTATATGTATCAGATATGTCTGTCCTTAGAAAAAATCTTGTCCAAACATCTATATAAAGAGCCCTAATTTCTAATCGCTTTTAAATTATTTAAAAAATAATGAACTCTTTTCTATCATGTGCAAATATACATTTCTTTTCAGTGTGTTTCACCTTAGTTGTTTACCCCTTTTTTGTACTTTTTGGCAATTTCTCTGTTCTAGTAATCCCCCAGTGTCACTGATATCCATGAAATTTAGTACTGTACACACCAACAGTGTTATTATGTATTATGTTATGGGGAGGATTTGGATTCTTTCGATATTTAGAGGGACTTTTAAAAAGCTTTTTGTGGTAAGAGCAATGCAATCTTGTCCAGTTAACTGGTCCCAAACATCTTATTTACTCTTCTTAAAACTTGGTTGAAAGCAGCATCAGTGTGGAATACAAAATGCATAGCAATTTTGTCATACCTTTTCTGACTATTTTCCATTTATTCCCATTATGGTTGAGATAGGGGGTGGGGGAGGGCATTCATAAAAGATAATACATGGGTGTTTAGGTCTGTTAACATTTGTATATGGGCCCTAGGAAATGATAAGTTTGAATTGGCAGTGTCACAAGAAGTACAATGTACCTCCCTATCGTGCTGTTTTATTTGGTTTTTAAGGATTCGTGTACCACTGCCAAAAACTATAACTTGTTGTTAGGAAATCTTTTTTCTGCAATGACAATAGCTATGAAAAATCATTTTTGAAAAGAAAATCATACCTTGCATGTCTTTTATGAAAAATAATAATAATAATAATTGCATGATCGTAAGAGGCAACTTAATTTGGGATCTTATCTTCTCTCTTCTTTGCAAACAACTTTCTTCTTCCTAATGTCTCCCTTGATAATGCCTCACTTTTGGTCTTTAGTTGAGCATTAGACCTTGTGAGGAAGGCTTTGGGTTCTGTCCCCTGGCTGAGACATACCAGAGTCTGTAAAAATGGTAGTTTCTACTCCTGCCTAACGCTCAGCAATTTAGCAGTGGGACGACTTGTTTGCCCGTTGTCAGTATAATGTGACCGGGTGGGGTGTCCTGCTGGGTGTCTTTGGCAGTATGTTTCAGTGAGGTAGCACTATAAAGTCGGTATCAGTTCCGCGCTATCACAAGGAGACAAACACGAACATATCTCTGCCTCCCAAAACACACTTGCATACACTACACTCATGCATCTTGCACACAGGGGAGGCGTCCTTAAATGACTATAGCTGTTGATAGGATGTTAAACAATACTAAACCAAACCAAACCAAACTTATATTGTGTACTTCTTTCAAAACGATGTGTTGACCTAGTAGCCTCAACTCAAATGATATCAGGGGGCGTCTGAAACCTAGATGTTACTAAGTATGGCGACAATCTCAAAATATTCATGATGGTTTTAATTTCGCGAATTTCAATGCATTTGCGAAATTTTTGAAATTTAAACCCTTGTAAGTATTAGCAATTATACTGTATAAAATATTTATGCTTTGTTGACATTCTGTTGGACAGGAATTCAGGGAGAGGGCTGGTTTGACCCATGGTTGCTTCTCTGTGCTCTGAAACAGAAGAACATCAGTATGGGTGTGACCTATTTGAATGCTGAAGTGGAGGGCTTTTTCATGAGCGATATGAAGGATGAATTGGGTGCGGGGAAACTGTCAGGCCTCCAGGTATATTGTGCTCCTCTGTTATAAACTAACCTGATGCTTGAAGGGAGTTTGTAAATAAAACTTGATTGTAATATTCTTCTTTCACAAGATTAACAAACAAAAGACAATGAGTTATACTGATCAAATGGTTTAAGGAAAAGGGGTGCCACACAAAATTTAGGCTAGAGTTAAAACAAGAGACGACAGAATCTTGTATTTTAATGGTGTCTCGTCAATGTAATCCCAGTCAATTAATCACGTGCTATGATCAACATTTATTTTGTAAATGTACTTATCTCAGTACACTTATATTTTAGCACATTATCAAATTTTGACATATCAGTGCATGCAGGAAATAGAAAACAATATATACAGAAACTTCCATTAGCACATTCATAATGTACTGTAATATTTAAAGCGTGAAAAGAGCTAAAATAAGATAGCTGCTAAAATAAGTCCATTTTACAGCTGTTATCTGTTACTGGTTACGATGTGGGATGGTGAAACCTTCACCCTTTGTGTTGAGACGTCTTTTATAAGTCAATCATAATGAATGATGTTACTCTATGAAGACAGCTATCCAACCTGTAAATAGTTTACATATTAATGTAAGGTAATAGGACCAATATCAGGTGTAGGTTTGTGGGTTGAACTTTAAAACCCACTTATTGGTGACGCTGAAGTATCACTATGTTGTGATTATATCCATTTTTAGGTCACCTGAGCTTTGCTTGGTCAGAATCATCATTGATAGATGAGGCTACAAAATTTTTAAATTAGGATTTCTACTCCAACCGCTGGGCCATGGGGCCAGGGCGGGGCCCCAAAGGGAAAATTAACCAATATTTCAAAAATCTTCTTCTCCAGACTTAGAGGTACATGTACTACGTTCAATTTCAGTGCATAAAAAGAAAGATCATCAGGGGCTTTATTTATATTGTACATTTCAGGACCCCCGAGCTATCCGTTCTCCCTAAACTTTCTGTAGGAAATCATTTTTACTTGGTGAGAATTATCCTTGGAGGAAAATGGTTTCAAATTGTAAAATTGAGATTCCTACCCCAACCGCTGAGGCCAGTGCGGGGCCCCAAAGGGAAATTTAACCAATATTTCAAAAATCTTCTTCTCCAGAATCAGAGGTACTACAGTCATTTTCTCTGCATGGAAAGAAAGATCATCAGGGGCTTTATTTAAACTGTAAAATTCCGGACCCCCAAGCTATTCGTTTTTCCTTGGGGAAGTGGTTAAGTTTACTATAGTTTATATAGGGAAATAACACTTTTGGGTATATTTTGACAACTTTCTGAAGGAAATTATTTTTACTTGGTGAGAATTATCCTTGGAGGAGGATGGTTTCAAATTGTAAAATTGAGATTCCTACCCCAACCCTACGGACCAGGACGGGGCCCCAAAGGGAAAATTAACCAATATTTCAAAAGTCTTCTTCTCCAGACTCAGAGGTACTACAGTCATTTTCTCTGCATGGAAAGAAAGATCATCAGGGGCTTTATTTAAACTGTAAAATTC